CATCATGCAGGCAAAAAAACGATTGCCGTCCGTCGACCTCGTCGACATCCGTGTCAAGCTGATCCGGAACGTATCCCGAGATGCCAGCCCACCGACCAGCCGTGGCTATGGCGTGGCCGGAGGGACGGTGGCCGGAAGATCCGCTTGGCTGAGGGATCCCGTGTGTCCCCAGCATAGGGGGGTGGCAGGACGGGAAGGTCCGAAGCCATGGAACCATACCCGACGCCAGCATGAACCAGTCCGACAGACCTCGACCCGTGGTCTCGTCTGGGACGGTTGGATGGATAGCCAGCTGTGTCTGTGTTTGTCCCGTGGACGCCGACAGATCAACAGACTGAGTAGCTGTGGCCATGGGTCGAAACGCCACGGGGAACACAGACTACATGGAAAGTCAATGGATAGCCAGCTGTGTCTGTGTTTGTCCCATGGACGCCGACAGATCAACAGACTGAGTAGCCGTGGCCATGGGTCGAAACGCCACGGGGAACACGGACTACATGGAAAGTCAAAGACACAATGAACATCGTTATAAAAAGAGCAGGGAGAGATGGATTGCCAGCCGTGTCTGTGTTTGTCCCGTGGACGCCGACAGATCAACAGACTGAGTAGCCGTGGCCATGGGTCGAAACGCCATGGGGAACACGGACTACACGGAAAGTTATTTACACAATGAACATCTTAAGATACGCGCTTGTGACATATGCATTTTGGCGGGAAAAATAGAGTTCAATAAAGTAACATAAAACGCAAGCAATATGTACAAAATATACAATGCGATGGTCAGAAACATCAACCAATGCGACACTACTGACCGGGAGTCTTGTAGTTCTTGAAAAGTTTGAGGGAGGACCCGTGAAGCACGAGGCACAGACACAACACGTGCAGATACGCGCTTGGGACATGTGCTTTTTGGGCGGGAAAAGTAGAGTTCAATAAAGTAGAATAAAACGCAAGCAATATGTACAAAATATAGAATGCGATGGTCAGAAACATCAACCAATGCGACACTACTGACCGGGAGTCTTGTAGTTCTTTGAAAATTTTGAAAACACTTCCACTCTGTAAACACGTCTTCTGTGTTGTCCATACAGAAAAATTATGAGAGGTTTTCAACAAACTATGTTGTGACGTCACAGCCAAGGGAGATAACTGCATAACTCTTTTAAGCATACCACTAGGGATAGCTATGACTTAGTTAAACAAATTCATTTCCATTCTGTATGTGTCTGTGGAATCCACAGGAATAAGGCAACCATAATCCAGAGGGAATGTTTACGCCTATAATTATATATGGTCTAAGCTCAACAAGTAACCTTAAAGGTTGGATTTGAACACATAATTCTAAGGTCATTTCTAACTTTAAATCCAGTTATAAGCAAACGTGTTTTGAATACAGCTTTGAAAATCAAACTGAAGTATTTAAGATTAATCACTTCCTTTCTGAGTAGATAAATGTCCTCCATGTAAAATCACGCATGGTCCACATGGTACCCGCTGACTGCTTGAACGCTTCTGTACAAACGTTCCTCAATCCAAAGTGACCATTTCAGTACATACAAACGAGATGTAAGACACTTAGGTTAAGTGCACCATCCTCAGAACCGAGGTATTGTATATAAATCCTGTATCCGCCCCTGTTTATCATATCATATAAAACGATATAACAAGGAGTTCACCCGTTTACACAATTCAGGATATGGATCAAGTAGAGACGTACGAAGGTGGGGTAAATTTTGTGACTTTAACATAACAATTATTCCTCGCAAAGTTAACGTTCTATTTGACCATGTGAAAAGCGCTTTTCTTGCCTTTGTTAATTGCTTATCAAAATGTTAATCTAACTTTTCCGATTGGTTGAAAATGTAATTCCTAGAATCTTAAAGGGTTCTTTGGACCAATAAAGAGGTGTATGAGGGGCTGCAAGCGGTGTAGGAGGTGCGTGGTTCTCATCCATCCATTACCAATAAAAACATTCCATGTCTCAATACATTTTGCCTCTGGTATATAAACAACGCCAACACAGGACAGGACAGAGATAAAGAAAACGCTGTTGAACATATATTATCCAATGTAAGTAGAGGTGGGACGTAACAAATAACATGTGCAGAAGGTCTAGGTCACATAGCAGTCAATATCTTGTGTGACCACCATTAGCATCAATGGTTGCCTGGCATCGGCGACCCATAGACTGGATCAGATTCTGGATGACCTGTAATGTTGTGATATTCTTCCAGGAAATCCAGAAACAAAGCATCCAAGGTCTGCTCACGATGTCTCACAGTTCGTAACACAAATGTTCAGTTGGGTTCAGATCTGGCAATTCAGCCGGCAATTTATGCCTTAATGCATGCATGATGCACGTGCATCTCGATTTCAGTGTTGTGTTTGTGCGAACTCTTCCCTTTCCACAATTAAAAACATTTCTAACCTCAATCGCAAACAATACTTTATTGGGCAATACAGGCTATACGACCACGATTCATGTTTCCCTCAAACTTGACTTCCGTTGTATATTTAAAAACATAGGTTCAAATACTCCATTGATACTTAAATGTCCTTTCCAATATTACGACGTTTCTTTTGCCTTACGGTATATATTCTTTTCTTATCCATGTGCTCTTGTGCTCATGTAGTGTACACACAAGTGTAGTAAAACTAACTGTTTACTAGTTGTAGTGACATAAAATGACTTTTGCATGGCAAAACCTATATCATGACCAAAAAGTCATGCTAACTGAATGTAGTTTAAAGCCGCAATCGGTTCTTGAGTTCAGTTCTTTAAGAGGTTAATTTGAGAATGTGAATGGTGGTGCGCTGATTATTAGGTATGTATTGTTATCGCAATTTTCATTGTTTTCCCCTTTCTGTCACACTTCTACTTTATGCTGATTTCAATCTACTTCCTTTGTTGATGATTTGCGTCTTTGTTTCTAGTACATACTTGCAAACCAGAGTAGTCTGTCAACAAAAGACACTTATCATCCTTTAAAAAGTGCATTGCTGTGAGGTTTCCCAAACAGGAGTACAAGGCTATTGTTCTCTAGATGTGTAGTATAGCTAACAATAGAGATGTTTCAATATGCCGGCTATGATGGCCATGCTGAAAAACTGATCATGGGTTTTGTTTGCAGGAACAAGCAATTGTAGTTTCAACTTTGTTGGTCAAGTGGTTTCTGAAGAGTTATTTATAACACATGATACACTATGCAAAAAATAAAATACTTTCCGTTTCTTAGAATCTGTTGCACCAGCATTGATTTAACTTTCTGCTCACAATAGGCTCCATAAAATTTAGCCTAAAAGCCTTGTGGTGTTGTTTTCAGGGTTTCTTTATCTGAAGTGTGAAAACTACTCTGTGGTGTTATCATCAATGACTGAGAGACGTGTTTGTAACACTACTTTTAAACGTGTTCCCACTAAATCATGGTATATCAGTTTAAAGGTTAAGGGGAAGACCAGGTTGCCGATGCACATGTGGTGAAACCCACGAGCATAAGTATGCGGCTAACAAACATAATCAGGTCGAACCTAGATTCCAACCCACAATCATAGGTTTCTGGCATGCCCAAGGAACGACTATGCGATCCTTATTGATAATTTGTAATGTATGGGGCAGTGGGGTAGCCTAGTTGTTAAAGCGTCCGCTCGTCACGCTGTAGACTCAGGATTGGTTCCCCACATGGGTACATGCGTGAAGCCTTTTTCTGGTGTCCCCTACCGTGATATTGCTGGAATATTGCTAAAGGCAGGGCAAAACCATACTCACTCATTTGTAATGTTAACTTTAAATATGGATATCATGAATTTCCTTATTTGAAGGTGATGTCAAGATCTCAAGATCTCAAAGACTTAGTTAAAAATAAATTCATGTACAAACAAAGATGTTCATTTACTGGTTTATTATATTTAAAACAGGCAAACCACTGCACTTCTATCAGTATGACATGAATGAAATATACTACTGACAAAAAGTAAGGGAACTAATGATTTGAAAGAAGTTCAGTTGGTTAGCAAATTGGTGAGACCCATGGAAGAATTCGCAGCTAAATAACTGAGGAACTCTAAACATGCCTCCAAGACAGTATCTTAATGAACATACAAAGTGACCATTTCTGGGTACAACAGAGGCCAGCTGGGTGGAGGGTTGGGGGATGTCACCATGGGAAGTTGCCCAAGTGTGTGGCAAATCAAGAGGTGTAATCTTTCCACATACGGAGGAAGAGACCTGGCAGTGACACAACCAGGCGTGATATCCTCTCACCACATTACATTGCACTAAGCAAATTAAGTGTGCTCTATTATCAGTAGAGAATTTGAATATGAATCATGCTAACCCAGCTCTATGTAGTCCTCGTGAAAGGGAATCGGCCTGCGAAGGGTGTGACCCTAAAAGTTTACCACAGGCAGCATAGATTGGGGCAGGCAGGGCAATACTAGGGATGGGCAGTGTACCAATGGTGTTACACCATGGGTAGGCACTAATCAAAGTGTTGGCGATGTCCCAGCCAGCAGTATGCAAGGGGAACAGTTCTTGACTATGTTCAGTTTGCAGCAAACACATGAAAGTTCATAACCAATATGCCATCTAGATGTTCATGTATTAACTAACATGGTGGACACATTAGTATTTACCTTTTCATCTGAAAATGTTTTTACAGACATTTATCAACATTATACCTTCACTTTCATGCCATCAGTTCCATTATTTTTAGTTTTTAGTACATATAAAAGAGATAGCAAAGTAAATGAACATAATTATCACTCACAAGCTATTTCAAAACAAACCCACAAGCAGGCAAATGATGAAAACATATACTGAGGATATGGCACTTTTTATATAATATATATATATATATATATATAAATTCATGTTACCAAAGGCCCTGGAAAAAACCCGTTCACACTATTCTGACTGAGAAACATCACATCCGAGTTAAACAATGTGTGGGGTTGATTATGGTTTAACACTGCTTCTAACCAAATATTTCATATATCACAGAATGTGGGCTCAATGAGGGATCAATCTCGAACCTGTGAAACTGGTGTCGTGCTCACAAATCTAACTATCACAGCGAAAGGTCAAGCAGGTACAGGTAGAATTATGATAGACACCATCTGCTTTGAGCCATGTCTGGGTTTTTCACACCAGTACAAATATATACTGGAAACAAGAGAATGGGAAATCAGCCGATCAGTAGATGCATGAACAATTCAATGATCATTCACTTAACTTTTGTGAGTTACCCCCTATAGCCTCACAATAACTATGTCTTGTGTAACATACAGAAAACTTTTGAGGGTGTAATTTTACAGCACTTGTGTGATGAAGACACAGCATAAGGATTTTGCATGTTCTATGTGGTCAGAGTAGTTGTTGATGGAAATCCTTATCCATTGTAAGTTACCTTACTGAGGAGGAGGTATGAGACAGAGTAATCCGTAAGGTTGCAGGTAAATGTTTCAGACTGACATTCTCTCTGTGCCTGGTTTGTATCTTTAAGGGTAGGTAAGAGACAGTTATCATACAGGGGTCTCAGCAAGAATCATGGGGAGGTCACCAAACAATATGACAGTCTTTAGTGGAAGATCATGAGTAATGTTACACTCTTTCTAGTTTATAGTAATACAATTTAAAATGCTATCGCATTTGTCACTTCAAGAAGGGTCATGATATAATATGTACAATGACATGTGGAGGAAACGTTGTTATTTTCTGTACATGTCAACCTCTGACACACCACCCAAGCCCATCCCTGTAATAAATGATTATTCTCCTACAGAAAAGTAGTGATATCAATATCCATTTGATATAAAAGCACTGCTACTTAATACTCTCTTTGTAATATTAAACACAAGAAATTTCTTAAGCAAAGTGTTCTTGTGGCATTTAGCTGGCATTCCTTGACAATTCATATCACAGGTTTTAAAAGACATTACATTTGCATACATCTTAACATCCTTATTCAATGTGACAGCACAAAAACTAAAGGTCAGTTAATGTCATGTGTCACATCATAAATGTCATGCTTACTGATTGGTCATCCAATTCTCCATGTTTTATGCGAAATGTCAATGCACTGAATACTAATATGCACCCCAAAGCACAACAACGAATAGTTGAGGTTGTCAATGGAGTCCTGTCAGTCAATAGGAAAATGTTTTCCTTCTTCAAAGCTAGTATTACATATAAATGTGTAATTTAATTAACATACTGCGACAATGTATGTTGTGTAAACATTTGCTGTTTCATTTGCTTGTTCTTAACTCATCTGATCTTTCCAATGTAATTAAATAGTATCGTAATATTCAGGTGAGCTGTTTTTCTATTTTTTTATCTTACTAACCTTGAACTTTTGTGTGAAATATCAATATTTGACACCTTTGAAGTAACTTGGTCCATCATTTATATATAATCCATTGATTTCTATTCCCATTTTTAACAACCCTGTTACGTTGAAAGCAAGTTTGTCCCACTGAGTAACCATTTACGTATTTATCCTATTTGTTTTCTGTCAATATCATGTCAAAACCTACAATCTTTATCATGTATGATAAATAATTTTAACATATGACAATCTGATTCCTCTAATTAATCCTAGTTTTTGTCACATCAGAAAACTGTTCTTTATTGTTGTAGTTGTAATCAGTCTCTCTTTCATGACGACAATAGTGCTATTTCAGTGGTATTGATGTTTAAACTTTAGGATTGTCAGTTTTTGAGGCCTCCTCATCTGCACTGTGTGTCTTGTCACAATCAACTTGTTTCAGAGCTGATTCCTTATTGTCTCCGACCTCTGTATGCTGCCCCATATCATTTCCTGCTTCCCAATCATCCTCACTGCTGCTACAATTCCCTATACCCAGCTGATGGTAGGTAGCTTCTATGTCTTCCTGTCCATCTCCAATATTGTTTACAGGAGAAAAGACAAAATCTTTGCTGATATCCACTTCCTTTGTGAAAGAGAAGGTAGCATCAACAAGAGTGTTGTAATCAGCTACTGTACCTGCAGGAACACAACTACCAGTCTTCCAATGTGTTTTCAGTCCACTGGCACTGATATACTTTCTGTTACACTGTGGACACTCATAAGGTCTTTCATTTGTGTGCAATCTTCTGTGGAGTTTGAGATGAACAAACTGTGTGAACTTGGCTGGACAGTGTTTGCAGTGAAATGGTTTTTCCCCACTATGAAGTCTCATGTGAGTCTTGAGATTGCTTGTACTGCTGAACCTCTTGCCACACGTGTGACATTCATGGGGCTTCTCCCCAGTATGGACCAAGTGGTGTTTTTGAAGATGGGCAAGCTGAGTGAAACCCTTCCCACATGTTTGGCACACAAATGGTCGCTCACCTGTGTGGGTTCTCAAATGAACTTTAAGATTTGATAATTGACCAAATGTCTTAAAGCAAACATTACATTCATAGTGCATCTTTCCATCCTTTTTCTTCAAGGGATAAGGGAGAGTTCTATATCCCCTCAGCCCAAATTGGTCAGATTTAGGCTTACTTAGGTTAAGTACTTGCTCATTTAAAGATTGTGTGCTTGGCTTTTGGAAGTTACTACTGACAGTGTTTGGGATGGAGGTATGATGAAATGTCGGGGGGTACAGAGGCCAAGATTGAAGCCCTGGATATGCTGGAAATGGATACAACTGATTCAGATGAAACATTCCAGGAAGAGGAGAAGATGGATAAAACAGTGGTGCACCTAGATTTGATCTGTTTGGACTTCCAAAAAGTTTGTAATGAGGGTCTCCCTGTTTCACTGAGGGTTGGAAAGCTGCCAGGGTCTTGTCCATCATCATACTGTTTGGAAAGAATGGATTTACCTTGAATGGTAGGGGAGGAGGTATTGCATTTTCACTTGACATATATTTTGATGGTTCTTTTGATTCATACTTCTGTTTTCCAGTAAACTGAAACACTGTCTGTCCTGCCAGAGGATGAGCCATACAAAATCCCCTTTTAGGACCTGATTCATGAACTTCTTGTCTTCTTTCCATCATTTTTTTCATGAGCAGTTTTTCAATACCATTCTTTCTTTTTGGTGTACTCAAAGTACATTTTGATGATGTACTTTGATGAGCTTCTGGTGGACCAGGGTCTTTCATAGATGATGACAGTGATGTTGTGTCTACCATCCCAAATTTCTTTCCTTGCACATCAAATATTGATTCTTGTGGACTATTATTCTGTTTCCCAAAATCATTACTAGGACTACCATCACGTTTGTGCATACTATAGTCTAAGATGTGCTGATCTGTTTCAGCTGATGCAGCCATGTCTTTCCTGCTGTGGGATGTTTCTTCATCATCACTAAGCACATGGCTATTAGAGAAACAGTGGTGGAATGAGGAAGATGAATGAGGAACTTGTCTCTCAAGCAGCTGGCGTTCTGGAATGTCAAAACAGGTGAATATTAATACTTTAATATCATATTATCCCTGTAGCTAATATAGTTCTTAAATATTATGCATTAAAGCTTAAAGTGTCAACAAAAATGACTACTTAGCATAGATATTACAAACATAGAAATTTGCTGCAATGACACGAAATTCATTTGAATTTATGGATGTCAGCTTCTTTATTTTAAGGAACACCTCATTTTGAAGAATATGGTAAAGAATATTTATTTTCAGATTTATTGTTCTATTGGGTATTTTTTCAGATGGTGTTGGCAATTTGAGAAAATTCACTCTGAAGGAATGTAAGAGAAAAGGTTAAATAAGGATATCCCCACAAAATGTGTAACCAATACTATGCAAGGAAAGCAAGGATTCTGTGTTTTTAAGGGGTCACATTGCAAGGGAAGGTACACCAGATTTATCAGTGTCACTCAGACTTGGTTGTGAGCAGACACATATTGCAATTGCTTTCTTTGAACCAAAATTTATACACTTTATGAAACACATGTAATATGTTTGCAATATGCTCAATACTAACATGCTATTGTCACGTTGCAGGTTGTCACAACATATTTCTCAATCTGTCATCATTATGGGCAAGATACCAACACACACATAATGTCGATAATTGATGCTGCTCTAAATACCTTACCAGCCTGACTATGCCAGGAACACATGACCCCTCACTGCTGTATACTATTCATAATCTGTAAACCATATAAAAATGGTTATATATAAAGTGCCTGTTTCCATGCACTTGTGCATTCTCAAGGCACTAACACTTGTTAAAGTAAGTACAAGTTGATTTAAGTTTCTTAAATGTTTGACAAGGTTTTAGCTTCAGTTTCACCTGCATAGACCCCAATTCCAATGTGCTTTGTCGGTATTAATAATTACTGTCTCTAATATCCTATCCTGTCAATACTCAGTGGAGAGATACACTAAAACCCAGGTACCTCTTCCTGAACATCTCTAGTGGGCATATGCACTGTTCTTTAGAGATTTCACTCAGATTTACCAGTATAGCTGAAACTTTGTCTGTTGAATATTTGTGCAACTATTTGGTGTTAATCACTGTATATTGTAACCAGCTGCAAATCTGATGCACAAAATGTGACAATATGGGACATGGCATTTATATAGGCTTAGGTTCAATTGAAGCTGATGTGAATGTACAATTTGTAAATGCCATTTGAAAATGAGAAATATGACTTCTTTGAGACGCAATTGAGAAGTTCGGAAGTACAACATTGGCAAACATGATAGATAACAACTTTTTCTGTTTCACGATAGTCGACCAAGAACCAAATGTCACATTCATGTAATGAAACAAGTTGTTATCCATAAATGGTGTCAATAATAGGAAATATGTGTTATATCTGCACACAGTCAAACAGTTGTTTCTTTGTACTTATATTGACCATGTATGAGTTTTCTAATGTCTGAGTTAAGGGCACTGTTGAGATATGACACCTAGATATTGTAAACCTATAAGAGGATTATTACATTTATTAAGCATGAGATGGACTTAATAAATATACCTTATCAATTGTTTAGATTTGAGCAACTTTGGTTGGTAACGCTAAACATACACAGAAACTTCCTAGTTCACACATCCTTACATTACAGTTGTGTGAAATGTTGATTGTTGACTTCCACCAGTGTGCATAGAGATGTTACTGTTCAGTGGTTTGCAAGTTGTCATTTCTAACTCTTTGTTTAGTTCAAATCTGAATATGCATTACTCAAATTGGCTGATTTTATTCAATCATAATTGTAGAATTGGATGACCCTGGTCAATGTGTGTTGTCCAGGATATAACCAAAGTTTACTGTGGTTGACCAATGTTAGTTCTTGTTAACATACTGTTGCAGTATTTTGGTTACTGGTAATAGTCTCCAGGTGATGTCATTGTAAAAGGTTGATAGTTCCATGGATGCAGTTATGAACAAAAGCCAAAGTGGCTGCCTCTATTTTTGTCCTCTCTTGGAATTATAGTCCTTCTTGTTGATATACTATGAAAATTCCAGTATCCTGCATCAAATTTTCAGTGTATTAGAAGAGACGTCCTCCTCCTCAACCTGTAGTTTGCATTATTATGATATGAAGTAGCTAAGAATCCATAGATAAAACTGTATTGACAGGCTTCTGAATGTGTTAGATGATTTGAATCTCTGCAGGTTTTCTGTTGCTTGAATAATGATTGTGCAGGATAACTTGTAAGGTTGTAAAGACCTGGCATGAGATTGTATATTTCCTTCAAATGATCCAAATAGGAGTGACCCAACTCATAATTCATACATGGGAAACCATCAGACCCAAGAGAGACTGACTCTCAGGCAAGTATTTCTCCTATTTGTGAACAATTTGGTTTGGTTTGTTGTTTTATGCTGCACTCAGCAATATTGCAGCTACATGGCAGCAGTCTGTGAATAATCAAGTCTGGACCAGACAATCGAGTGATCAACAGCATGAATATCACTCTATGCAACTGGGATACAATGACATGTGTCAACCATGTCAGCGAGCCTAACCACACTGTCCCATTAGTCACCTCTTACGACAGGCATGGGTTACTGAAGACCAATACTAACCCGGATCTTCACAGGTGATTTGTGAAAGTGCTGACTTGTATCTTCTTTATGTGGAGAGCAATGGGCCTACATTAATTCTGGTATATACAGCTCTTTATAGCATCTGTATGTTGCCTGCAATTGTTTTCAAAGGAGATTGATTTCCATCTATCCCCAAAGGGAAAATGTGGCTGTCAATAGGTGTGTCATGCACCAGACATTAACTCCAGTGTCGGGGATATTTGATGAAGCATTAGACATGCACATTATGTGGACACATATGACAAATGCCAGTCTCTCACAGTGGAACCCCAATCATTTTGTTTCATGTGTTCAGTGTCGTGAAGATCATGAGGAAGAGTCTTGTAATCTCACCGAACAAATTGACAATTCTGATGCAGATCATCCCTGGAAAGAGTGAGTGAGTTTAGTTTTATGCCGAACTCAGCAATATTCCAGCTACATGGCAACGGTCTGTCAATAATCAAGTCTGGACCAGACAACAGAGTGATCAACAGCATGAATATCACTCTATGCAACTGGGATACAATGACATGTGTCAACCATGTCAACGAGCCTGACCATACCGTCCCATTAGTCACCTCTTACGACAGGCATGGGTTACTGAAGACCAATTCTAACCCGGATCTTCACAGGTGATTTGTGAAAGTGCTGACTTGTATCTCCTCTATGTGGAGAGCAATGGGCCTACATAAGCCTGACCTGCTACTGCTTTCATAATATTGTCATCTCATGTAATAGATGATCACAACACCACTCTATCCATACACTTGAAAGGGTGGAAGGAAAAAGCATTTGGTGAAAATGGTAAAGAAACATTACAAATCATTGTGATTTTGACCTTACACTCCCTTCCACGGCCTTCCATATATTGACATAGTAATTATTTCAGACGCTCACAGTAAATTTGTCTTGAGATGTCACATCAAATATCTTTTTATTAGGTAATGAAGTAGATGATGACCTTGATATGTATGAAGGCATTGAACCCTTATGGCAATACTAAATTTGAAGGTTTAACAAACACAATGGCAGCATGTGTAAAGTTTGTCAGCCAATTGGGAAGTTTGCAAGTAACACAAGCATTTAGAGGGCATGTATTAATGAGAGGCTCTGTACCTCACCTGGTTCATGACAACAATATTATAATGACTGACTGACTGAGTTTAGTTTTACGCCGCTTTTAGCAATATTCCAGCAATATCACGGCGGGGGACACCAGAAATGGGCTTAACACATTGTGCCCATGTGGGGAATCGAACCCGGGTCTTCGGCGTGACGAGCCAACGCTTCAACCACTAGGCTACCCCGCCGCCCATATTATAATGAAGACACTTTAACCTTAGTGTGGTATAAACATCTACAGTGATTTGAAGAAAAATAGGGGCACTGTTTGCATTTTTTGTTCCAGTTTTATTTGTTTTTGCATTGTCTTTTATTCTCGAAAAAATGCCATTCTAACATTTTACGATATATATGTGCCGACTCATATATTTTTCAACTAAGTTATAATAATACCTTGATTACAGAGTATGTTGCTTCTACCCTACAGGGTTTGAAATACACTCAGGACAAAAGTAACAGAACCGTGTTTATATGTCAGATGTTGCAACAAAAACTGCATTCAAATGACTATTTCTCCTTTCATTTGTCAGAAGTATATTTAAGAGCATAGAGAAGGTCTTTCCACTGCAAAGGGTTACTAGGGGTCACAGTGTAATGAATCTTAAAAGTAGTCGTCCATGACATGAATTGCTATGGGTCCCTTGCATTTACTGTGATGGCATCCATGGACACTTTGGGGCTGCTGGAGCCTTTTCACAACAAAAGCAACAACTGCAACAGTCTTCCTAATGTTACTGGAACTATATCTTTTGGAAGTTGTTCGATTTTCATGGTATCCATTCACAAAGAATTACTTTTGGCCCTATCTATGGAGACAATTTGGTGGAAAAATGGTGAGTTGACCACATGGTTTTCCCATTTTGCCCATACATTGATTTGTCTGGCTCATTTTCACTTGGGTTGCACTTTTGTTGTCCATAAGGTCACATGATTCATTATTGCATGAAATAGTTTACTGAGAATGTTGAATCAAGATAAAAATTCATAACAAAGCAATAACTTTGAACATATACATTACTCCCCACTTCTAAATATTGTTATACCAAATTTCAGTGCACTTGGCATAATGTATAACATTGGATTAGAATTCAGTGAGTTCTGTTGTGAGACAAAGCAACTGAGATCTTTCATTGCAAGTTTCATCTCCTGAGGCCTTGTAGTTTGACAGAGAGGACAAATGAATGAGGACAAATGAATTCCAGGACATAAACTCACATTATATGTCAATTCATGATTTATCTCCAATTGTGCAAAAAAGGAAAATTTCTATAAAATAAGAGGGCTAAAT